ATGGAGGGATGGACACAGGGAAGAGGTAACTATGGGGAGTTGGGGAAGTGGGAGGGGAGCTGTTGCATTGTGGTAAATTGTGGTCAATATCATGAGACAAAGTGTATGTGAACTGCTGTATGGAAAGTGAATTTGCTCTGTAAATTTTCACCCAAATCACAATAAAAAAAGTTACCAAAATGCAACACAGATACAATATGAATACATGCTGTTGGAACATTGGCATCCATAGGCTTGCTTGATGCAGGGTCACCACAAACTCTCACTTTGCAAAAAACAGAGTATCTACGAAGCTCAATACAATGAAGTGCAATAAAATGAGGTATGCCTGAATTCTTAAGAGTTGTGCAACCATCACCACAATGAATTGTAGAACATTTTTATCACCCCAGAAAGAAACCCCATACTCGTTAGCCATGTCCTCTCGTTTTCATCCAAATTACCCAGTTCTAGGAAACTACTAACCTACTTTCTATCTATAAATTTCCCTATTCTGGGCATTTCATATAAATGGAATTATGCAGTATGTGGCCTTTTGTGACTGGATATTTTCCCTTAAAACAGTATCTTCAAGGTTCTTCATATTATAACATGAATCAGTACTTCGTTCCTGTTTATGGCTGCATAATATTCTATTATATAGATATACCACACTTTATATATGCATTCATCAGTTTATGGGCATTTGGGCTAGTTCCACTTTATGATTATTATTAATAATGCTGCTATGAACAATTCATGTACAACTGTTTCTGAGTGCATATGTTGTCTTAGTTATCCAGTGCTAGTATAATAGAAATACAAGTGGATGGCTTTGACAAATAGAAATTTTGTTTGAGTGCCAACTCTAAGGGAAAGCTTTCTCTCTCTTTCAGCTCTGGAGGAAGGTCCTCGACTCCCTACAACATCTGTGTGTCTGGCGTTCCTTGGAGATCTACTTGTGTTTTGGCATCAATCTTCCCCTAAGTCTAGGAGATCTCACTGCACAGACCCTAGATCCAAAGAACATGCTATGCTTCCAGCAGTTCTATCAGATCCTTCTGCTCTCTCCTTGCTCACTTGCTTGTTGAATCCCTTTTATATTTCAAAAGAGATTGACTCAAGATACACCCTATGCTAATCCTGCCTCATTAGTTTAACAAAGATAACCCATTCCTAAATGGGATTATGACCACAGTTATTCAGTCCGTCACATATGTTTTCAATCTTCTTTGGTATATACCTAGTAGTAGAATTGCCAAGTCATATGGTATCTCTATATTTAACTTACTGAGGAACTTCCCAGACTGAACTCCAAAGCAGCTTCATCATTTTATGTTCCTGCCAGCAATTTATGAGAGTTCCAATTTCTCCACCAACTCCTTTTACTATCTGTCTTTTTGGTAACAGTCATCCTAGTGGGTGAGAAAGTGTATCTCACCATGGTTTAGGTTTGCATTTCACTGGTGGCTAATGATATTGAGCATCTTTTTATGTACTTATTTTTTAATCAGTCATTCTGATACACATCAAAGTTTGAGAACCTCTTGTCTATAACAACTTTAAGGTCCCTTTTGAGTATAATGATCCAAAGAAGGTAGACTCAGAGAGGTATATCACTTACAAAACTGCACCTGCTTGAACCTTCCTGCTCCAAAGGACACTGGCTTGCATGTTAACTTAGTCAAACTCCTGTCGTACAGATCCTTGACTATTTTAATAATTTTTCATTTTATTTTAAAAAATTCTAATGTAAATCTTAAACTTTACTGTTCTTTAACACATTGTGATGATCACTGTCATTTGTCAGCTTGGCTAGGCTATGATTCTTAGTAGTTTCACAGAGAGCTGGCTGATTGTTCTTCCATAATATAATATAATGTTATCACCTTCCATAATGTGAAGTGATGTGATTAGCCAGTGAATTAAAAGGGAGTATTTTCAGGGATGTGGTCTGCCTCCAATATATAAATGGATGCTTTGGCAAAGCTCTCTCTCTCTTTCTCAACTCTGCACTCTTTTCATCATCTGCCCTCCAGTTACTGGGATGTAAACTTGAAGAAGTCTTTGTCTTGCTGCCTGACCTGCAGATTTTAGATTCACCAGCTCCTGCAATCTTGTGAGCTAGCAGAGATCTCCACCCTGCCATCGACATACAGATTTGGTACTTGCCAGCCCCCACAATTGTGTGAGTGATTTCCTTGAAGTAAATCTATTTATATTGGTGCTGTTTGTATGGACTCTAGACTTTCTGGAGCAATGGTGGCTGGATGTACCCCCAAAACTATTGTCCTGAGATCATCTTTAAACCTTAAACCAAAAATATCCCCTGGAGTCTTCTTTAAACCAAATAATAGTTTAGCTTAATTAGTAAAGAACATCTACCTTGAGGGTTATGTTCTATTAAGAACTATCTATATGAGATGAAAGAGACAACAGCAACTCAAAAGGTTAGATAGGAACCTTAGGAGGCAATGAGTTTATGTTAATGGAGGAAGAACAATTCAGAAAAGAAGTGTGAGAATATTTTGGTGCCATCAAGTCAATTGTAACCCATGGTGATCCTATGTACAACAGAACAAAACACTGCTCGGTCCTGTGCCATCCTCACAATCATTGCTATGCTTGAGCCCATAACTGCAGTCACTGTGTCAATCCAATTCATTGAGAGTCTTCCCTTTTCTATATTTATAAACACACACACACACACACACACACATATACGTCTCACTGGTTTTGCTCCTCTAGAGAAACTAGACTAAGTCATTAAGCAAACAGTTCCATGTCCTAATTTGATCAGTACAATGGTAAATATTGTGCTTTCTGAGTATAGATCTTAATACAGATAGTCATATATGTTAACAGAAACCTTAGGAAAATGTTAGTGTGTAGAGAAAGGAAAATCAATCCTTCTGTACCTTTCATGATCCATAAGTAGTTTAGCAATGCTCAGACAGAAGTCTAAAGACATATTGAGATGTAGTACTTCCATGACAGCTAAAACAAAAGAAAAAAAAAGATCAGTTTCATTTTTGAGGAAGCTTAGCTATTTTCACTAATTTTCCTCTATTTAAAATCTACTTACTAAATGTTTACCATGTTTTGTCTCCCAATTTGTCAAAGTCCTTTTTTTTAAAAAAAATATTTTGTTCTTGTTGTTGATAATATATGCAGCAAAACATACACCCATTCAACAGCTTCTATGTGTACAATTCAGTGACATTAATTACATTCTCTGAGTTGTATAACCATTCTCAAACTTCTTTTCTGAATTGTTCTTCCTCCATTAACATAAACTCATTCACTCCTAAGGTTCCTATCTAACCTTTTGTGCTACTGTTGTCTCTTTCACCTCATACAGACTGTTCTTAATAGAACATAATTCTCAAGGTAGATATTCCTTACTAATTAAGCTAAACTATTGTTTGGTTTAAAGAAGACTCTAGGGGATATTTTTGGTTTAGGTTTGAAGATGATCTCAGGACAATAGTTTTGGGGGTACATCCAGCCACCATTGCTCCAGAAAGTCTAGAGTCCATACAAATTTGAAATTTTGTTCTGCAAAGACTGGAGTCAATGAGAATTTGAAATTCTGCTCTGCATTTTCCCTTTTCATCAGGATTCTTCTATAGAATCTTTGATCAAAATGTTCAGTAATGGTAGCCAGGCACCATCCAGTTCTGGTCTCAAGACAAAGGTGGCAGTTTTTCATGGAGGCAATTAGCCACACATCCCATTTCCTCCTCCTGTTTCTGACTTTACTTCTTCCTCTGTTGCTCCAGATGAATAGAGACCAATTGCTGAGCCTTGGATGGCTACTTGCAAGCTTTTAAGACCCCAAACAAAACAAAGCAAAACAAAACAAATTCACTGCCATTGAGTTGATTCTGACTCATGTTGTTGTTGTTGTTGTTAGGTGCCGTCGAGTTGTTTCCGACTCAAAGCGACCCCATGCACAGAATGAAACACAGCCCGATCCTGCGCCAGCTCCATGATCCTTGCTATACATGAGCCCATTGTTGCAGCCACCATGTCAATCCATCTCGTTGATGGATTGATCTCATTCTGACTCATAGCAACCCCCATTGCATTTCCAAGGCTATAAATCTTTATGGAAGTAGATTGCCCCATCCTCCCTCCATGGAGAAGCTGGTGGGTTTGAACTTCTAACCTTCTGGCTAGCAGCCAAATGCTTTATCCACTACACAACCAGAGCTCCTTTTTAAGACTCCAGGTACTACTTAATTAACTAGGATGTAGAATAGAAGCACTAAACTTGGATGTTCCATGAAACCATAACTCTAAACCTCCAAACTAAGGAACCAAATCCTGTAAGGTTGCTGGTTGTACATAAGCAGCCTCAGGTGCTACTCTTTTGTTGTCGTTGTCATTATAAATATAGTTATCACACAACTTTTTGCCAATTCAACTTTTTATAGGTGTACAAGTTACTGACAGCAATTGTAATAATAAAGATTAATAATAGGCTGTGTTTTTAAAGTAATTGTATTTGTGTTAGAGAGAGTTCAGTGAAACAGTCACTCTTACATGGATGGCAAATAAACTAGTAACATTCTTTTGAAAAGTAATTTGGCAATACTTAATGCATCAAAAACATACTGGTTATGAGCTTGGGATCTGAAGTCAGACATAAATTTGAAATCACTTGCCACCTGTATTGCCATGGGCATGTTACTTAATTTTTCTACACTTAGTTTTTTCATCTGTAAAATGGGGACTACATCACAAACCTCTCAGGGTTGTTGAGAGGATTAAATGAGGCTATATATATATATACTATATACATATACATATATATAGTATATATATAGTACATAGCCAAGCACCTAGCACTTAGTAAATATTCAATAAATGGCAGCAGCTATTATTATTCTCTTTACTTCAGTAACTGTACTTTGGTAAAGCCATCCTAAGTAAGTATGGGTAAATATTTATGAACAAAGATGTTTAAAATAGTGTAGATCATAACAAGCATAAAAAGAAAATATGTCCTAACTGTCCACTATTGTTGTTGCTATGTGCTGTCAAGTCGGATCCAACTCATAGTGACCCTTTCTTGGGTTTCTGAGGCAGTATCACAACGGAAGTAGATTGCCCAACCTTCCTCCCAAGGAGTGGCTGGTGGGTTTGAACTGCCAGCCTTCTGGTTAGCAGTCAAATCCCTTAGGCACTATGCTACCAGAGCTCCACTATATGGCAATGATAAACTATTATGGAACCATTAAAATTATTGAGTAGGAAATAAGATGGAAATAATAGGTATGCACTAACATTAAAACATATTTATAAGATTAAAAAGTAAAAAGACAGAACAGGACTGTATGGTCACAGATTTATAAAATTAGCAAAATAAACTAAGGAAAAATACTAGAAATAAATCACTAAAAGGGTTTGTATTTGGATTCAAGTATTCATTCTGCAAATATTAAAAGAGTGTCTTCTCTATGTCAGACATTGTGCTTGATTTGGGAATCCAGCAGCAAACAAAAATCACAAAATTACTGCTGTCAAGAAACTGAGTATTTTTAATGTTTGCCCAAAATGTCCTTAATGAGTATGTGTTACCCACTACCTTTTTACACTAAAAATATTTTACATATTCTATTCCTAATTTTCTAATGACAAAAATACCAGTGAAGTTCTAATGGCAGCAGTTTGGTTGACCATTCTAAGAGTAAAGAAACTACCAAGGAAATTAGCAGACTATAAAAATGCCAGTTTCACAACTGTCACAATACAACATAAGAAAACTTGGATTCAAGAGAAGTCTTCTAATTTGTAATCAATGACTGAGACTGCAACTTATTTATCTGAATATGAGGAGACTCTAGTTTAGGTAAGTATAAACAAACTGGGAATAAGTAATACTTTCACTTTAAACTCTACTTCTTACCTACACTTGGATAAAAACTGTAATGGGGAATTCCAGTCCCAAACTAATCAACTTCAAACTAGGTGACTATAATTATCTGGGCTTCCTATATTTTATTAGTTTGAGTAAGCCTATTCTTTATATTGATTAGTTGGTTTGTTTATTCTCTTAGTATATATATATAAAAAAAATTGGAGATGACTTACTGGTTCCTAACATGTTTTAACCTGTGTTTACTGAAGTGATACTGTTATCTACGGATGCAGAATCTTCTATATATTTGAGCTTCTGAGATCTCTTAAGTGATTGGTTAAGATTCTAGAGGCCACAGAAGGATTCAACAGCACTAAATTTAGGACTATTGCCAAATTTTATTATTGTCCTAATTATTACAAATTGTTATTTTTGTTAGATGATAAGTAATTATACTAACATTTGCACACAGTACAAATAATGCAGCTCTGTAAGAGTATGAATGTAGCAAAGTGTGTGCACATTAAAATAATTTAGAGTAAATTACTTTTATGAATACACAGAAAGTAAAATACTGTTAAAGGCCAGTGTGTACAGAGAGGTTTTTGCCTCTTTTAATACATCTATGTAGTAATGATAAGAGTAAAAATCATAATGGCAACAAAAATAGTAATAATAACTACAACAATAAATAACATGTATTGCCCAATAACCAACAGCTATTTATCAAGATAAACAGTGTGAAGTGTACATTCTAGATGCCTGATAAGTCTAAAAAACAAATATCAAAGTTTACACGAGT